AAAAGAAAGAAGGAAGAAAGGAAGAAAGAAAGAAAGAAAGAAAGAAAGAAAGAAAGAAAGAAAGAAAGAAAGAAAGAAGAAAGAAAGAAGAAAGCAAAGAAGAAAGAAGAAAGAAAGAAAGAAAGAAGAAAGAAAAGAAAGAAAGAAGAAAGAAGAGAGAAAGAAAGAAGAAAGGAGAAAGAAAGAAGAAAGAAAAGAAAGAAAGAAGAAAAAAGAAAGAAGAAAGAAAAAAAGAAGAAAGAAAGAAAGAAAAGAAAGAAAGAAGAAAGAAGAAAGAAGAAAGAAAGAAACAAAGAAACAAAGAAAGAAAGAAAGAAAGAAAGAAAGAAAGAAAGAAAGAAAGAAAGAAAGAAAGAAAGAAAGAGAAAGAGAAAGAAAGAAAGAAAGAAGAAAGAAAGAAACAGAGAGAAAGAGAGAGGAGGAGAGGAGAGAAGGGGAGGGGGGAAAAAGGAGGAGGGGACCAAGAATATCACTGGACTCATTTTTGACAGGTTGTGATGTATACATTTTCATAATTTCACTGACAGTCAACAGTTATCTTCCTATCTTTCAATGGCCCCAGTCTCATATATGCTTGTGTTTTATGTAAATTATTATTCCCAACCTTGGCAAGATCATGTGCAAGGGAATTAGTGCTAAGTTTTCATGCTACACAAAGCCCGTCTACTGTATCCCTGGAAAAAATCCTTCTATATCATGGTGAATGAATTTTTTGTAATGTATTGTGGATTCAGTTTGCTAATATTCTGTTGAGGATTTTTTTTAAAGATTTATTTATTTATATTAGAGAGGGGGGCACAGGGAAAGGGAGAGAGAATCTGAAGTGGACTTCACATTGAGCTCATGACTGTGAGATCACGACCTAAGCCAAAACCAAGAATCAAATGCTTAGCCAACTGGCCACCCAGGCGCCCCTTGTTGAGAATTTTTGCAAATATATTCATCAGAGATGTTGGCCTGTTGTTTTCTTTTTTATTCTTTTTTTTTTTTGGTAGTTTATATCTGGTTTTGGTATTGGGATAATGCTGCCTCATAGAATGAATTTTGAAGTTTTCCTCCCTCTTCTATTTTTTTGGAATAGTTTGAGAAGAATAAGTATTAACTCTTCTTTAAACATTTAGTAGAATTCATCTGTGATGCCATCTGGTCCCGCACTTTTGTTTTTGGGATGTTTTTGATTAATGGTTCAATTTCATTGCTAATAATCAGTCTGTTCAAATTTTCTATTTCTTTCTGATTCAGTTCTGGAACGTTATATGTTTCTATGTATTTATCCACTTCTAGCTTGTCTCATTTTTTGACATATAATTTTTCATAATATTCTGTTAAAATCCTGTGTATTTCTGTGGTGTCAGTTATTTCTCCTTCATTTCTAATTTTATTTATGAGTCTTTTTTTTTTTTGATGAGTCTGGCTAAAAGTTTATCAATTTTGTTTATCTTTTCAAAGCACCAGCTGCTGGTTTCAACTTATCTGTTTTACTGTTTTTTAATCTCTATCTGAATTATTTCTGCTCTCATCTTTATTATTTCCTTTTTTTTTCTGTTGGCTTTGGGCTTTATTTGTTCTTTTTCTAGTTCCCTTAGTTATAAAATTAGGTATTTATATGAGATTTTTCTTATCTTTTGAGGTAAGCCTGTATTGCTATAATCTTTTCTCTTAGAACAGCTTTTGTGGCATCCCAAAGATTTTGGACCATTGTGTTTTCATTTTCATTTGTCTCCATGTTTTTTTTTTTTTTTAATTTCTTCTTTGATTTTTTTGGTTGACCCATTCATTGGTTATAGCATGTTATTTGGCCTCCTTATATTTATATTCTTTCCAGATGTTAAAATAATTTAATAGGTTTCCATACTTTTTAGTAAATTCCTCCTTATATTTTCAATCTGGCATCAAAACCACACTCAGAGATAGTATTTAGCTATTATCTTGTATATCTAAACCATTTGTTAAAATGTTGAATTTAGGGTACCTGGGTGGCTCAGTTGGTTAAGCGACTGCCTTCGGCTCAGGTCATGATCCTGGAGTCCCGGGATTGAGTCCCACATTGGGCTCCCTGCTCAGCGGGGAGTCTGCTTCTCCCTCTGACCCTCTTCCCTCTGGTGCTCTCTATCTCTCATTCTCTCTCTCTCAAATAAATAAATAAAATCTTTAGAAAAAAAATAAAATAAAATGTTGAATTTAATACTTCTACATTGGTTGGTAAAGTCACTACTCCAAATCCTCAATATGCTCCTTTCCCTTTCTCAGGACTTCTGGACTTTCTTGTAATCCAAAAATTAGAGGACATAGTCTAGCATAATAAGGAATATCCACAACTCTGTTCTGATTTTATGGTTTAGTGCCTGTGTCTACTCAAAATTTTAATGCCAAACACACATTTTGCATAACATGTAAGACCAAATCTTCATAGTTATTCAATTTTTCTCCAGCTAAGATTTCCTGGCAAGACTCATTATATCTTTTCCCCTCCTCATTTCTGAGAAGTATTGTTACAGAGTTTTGTATTATGATTACATTAAATATATAGATAAATTTAGAGACATTGAACATCTTTACAAGATTGTAAATTTGTACTTAACAACATGATTCCTCCACAGAGACAAAATAGACTTATAAGTTCTTTTGCAAAAGTTCTACACATTTCTAAAGAAGTTCATGTTTCTAGATTTTATGTTTAAACATTTTGGACAGGAATTTTTTTCTAAATTATGCTTACTAAGTGCTATTAAAGTTTAAGAAATATTTCTTTTTTCACATTTATTGGTACACCTGACCACCTTACTGAAATCTCAGAATTTTCCAGTGGTTTTTATTTCCTTATGCTTAGTAAATTCAAATAATTTTATTGATGAATAATGATCATTTTTATTCCTTCTTTCCTATATTTTTATTTCTTGTGTATGCATGATACACATCAGAGTTTTCATCAAATATTTAAGGTTTCCTCCTGGGCAGATGTAGAATTACACTCCCTTACTCCTTCAAATTGAATATGGCTAAGTGGGTTGCTGTGAACCACATTTATGCATGTCATTTCCAGGTGGAATCTTTAATAGCCAGGTAATAATTGACCATCTTTCCTACTCTCAGACCAGTAACCAAGAAATCAGAGATGAGTGTTACATCAGCCTGGGAACTTGGGTAATTATGTCATATGTTCAAAAAAATAATTAGGTCTGTAGCATAAGATATTTACTCTTTTTAAAAAACATGAACTTTTTGTTTTCCTCTTCATATCTATGGGTAACGACAAGGACTCTAGAATAGGTAGAAATATTTCATTGTAGGTGTCCCATCTAAACAACATTATATAATCATACGCTGAATCTTATATTCAGTATACATCCTGTTTAGAAGAAATTTTATATAATATACTAAATAAGGTTAGTATCAATCGCTACTTTCAGCTCAAAGAGAATTTTCCTTTTTATAATTTTTCTGTGAAGAACTTTATTTAAAGTATTCCATTCAGAAAATAAATGGTCATGTCAATTTTTGCATATGTAAATGTACATATATACCTACATATATCCTTCTATTTGAGAAAACAATATTGGTTAAAATTTGGCAAAGTTAAATCAAACAAAATGTATCATCATATACATGTTTTATATATATTTTATATACATACATACCACACATACATACTTTTCTATTGTATAATGAGCTCCCTGAGAAGAGAGGATGGTTACTTATTTTTTTATTTTTCTTTATATCATCACATGCCTAGAATAATATCTAGTTCATCTTGACTGAAGTTTGAACTATAAATGCTATTATGTCCTATAGTTTCTGTACTCTTGATGTAGTCAAATAATTTGTGTACTTACAATATGAAAGGTTGTAAAACTTGCCTTTCTTTGTTTAAAAAAGAAGAAAAAAACATTTAATTTTCTTTTCCGTTATAATAAAATGCTGATATAATCAGACCTTTAAATGACTGTGTGTGTGTGTGTGTGTGTAGTTCTCTGCTTATAGTTTAATAAGTACAATTATTATTTCATGAGGCACCATTAACTTTTATGGTAGTTTTTCTACACATATAAAGTCACTGCCCATTTGATGCCCTGGATAGTCTTATTTTAAGATTGGTATAAATAATTGCATGCATAGGGCTCCAGTTATCTTTTTAAAGAGCATATTTTAATTGAGTTTGAATGCCTAGGCAAGGAGACAATAATTAGGAAGTCAAACATAAAATCAATCATCCTGAGCCTCCCCGAACTCGGGGCTGCCGGTCCCTTGCTGCCGGACATCCCAGGTATATCAGCCATGATAAAGAGATCTCGATTAAATACGTCAGTCACCAGCACCCCAACCACCCCCAGCTCTTCAGCATTGTCCACCAGGCCTGTGTGCAAAGCCTGAGCTGTGAGGTCTGCCCTGGTTGGGAAGGCCCTATCTTCTTTGGGGATGAGCAGCATGGTTTTGTGTTCAGCCACACTTTCTTCATCAAAGACAGCCTGGTCAGGGAATTCCAGCGCTGGTACAGCATCATCGTCATCATGATGGACTGGATTTACCTCATCAACTCCTGGCCCTTCCTGCTTGGGAAGATCCGAGGGATCATTGACAAAACTGCAGGGCAAGGCACTCAAGCTTCTACTCAAGCTGTGAGGGCAGAAACTGTTCTGTTTGGGACGAGGAGACCGGTGGCACTTTCTGTGGCCTGCATCAGGACAGCAGAATGGGACAGCGTATTTTGGAGTATTTGAGACAGAGCAGTTTGGCTGCCCACAGCGTGCCCAGAGGATGAACACGGCCTTCACACCCTTCCTGCATCAACGCAACGGCAATGCAGCTCATTCATTGACATCCTTGACGAGTGATGACAACTTGTGGGCATGCCTTCACACCTCCTTTGCTTGGCTCCTGAAGGTGTGTGGCAGCCGGCTGACTGAGAAGCTCCTGGAGGGCACACCTACCGAGGACACCTTGGTCCAGATGGAGAAGCTTGAAGACTTGGAAGAAGAATCTGAAAGCTGGGACAACTCCAAGGCTGAAGAGGAGGAGAAAGCCCCTGTCTTGCCAGACGGTGCAGAGGGGCGGGATCTGACCAAGTGCCCAACAGATTCTTCCTTGCTCTCAGACTGTGGAAACTGGCAGCCCCGAAAGTTGTCTGTCTTTAACTCCCTTTGGCACATGAGGCAGGTCCTGGGTGCCCCATCTTTTCGCATGTTGGCTAGGCATGTTCTCATGGAAACCAAGTGATCTGGAAAAGTAGAGATGCAGAACTTGTCCAGTCAGTTGTTGAAGTTCTTCGAACGATGCTGCCAGTGGGCTGTGTCTGCATCATCCCTTACAGCAACCAGTATGAGGAGGCCTACCGCTGTAACTTCCTGGGGCTCAGCCCACACGTGCAGATCCCCTTCCACGTGCTGGCCTCAGAATTTGCTGTCATCGGGGAGGCCCATTCAGCCCCTCGCTCCAGCCTCCACCCAGCCGGGTGTGAGGATGACCAGTCCCTCAGCAAGTACGAGTTTGTCGTGACCAGTGGAAGTCCTGTAGCTGCGGACCGAGTTGGCCCCACCATCCTGAATAAGATGGAAGCAGCTTTGACCAACCAGAATCTGTCTGTGGGTGTGGTGGACCAGTGCCTCCTCTGCATTAAGGAAGAGTGGATGAACAAAGTGAAGGTCCTTTTCAAATTCACCAAGGTGGACAGTCGGCCCAAAGAGGACACGCAGAAGCTCCTGAGTATCCTCGGAGCATCTGAAGAGGGCAATGTGAAGCTGCTCAAGTTCTGGATGACGGGCCTGAGCAAAACCTACAAGTCCCACCTCATGTCCACAGTCCTCAGCCCCACAGCCTCAGAGCCTCGTAATTGACACCACTGTGGGAACGTGAGCCCGGGCTCACCCTCGCAGAAGTGATGACCATCCCCGCCGCTGAACTCAAGGATGGCTCTCTGACGGCAGTCACACCACTTTTGTTTCTGAACTGCCGGCAAGGAGTTCTTTCCTAGCAAGCAGTGGAAACCCTCGGGGCTGAACCTTGCCCTCTGTGTGGGATTTGGACCTGGTAGAGTTTTCCCCACCATTCCATAAGCTGTTTGAATTGCTCTAGCCCTAAAGAGGGCTGTGTGAGACTTGGGACAGTAGGTCCCCTGTGTTTGAGCACCCTGTGAGAGAAGACTAAGGAGGACATGCGTCTTATGTCTCTCAAGGATTTAGACTCAAAATTTATAGGAAAAAATGTCAGGCCAGTCCCAACTTGGGTATTTTGGCCGCAGTAACAAACCTCTCAAGGTTCAGGTTTGAACCTTTCTATAATGATACTTAAGACTTTTCCAGGTTTTATATATGTTTATATATGTTGTATGTTTTGCTACGGTTGTGAATTTTCAGGACATGTGCCGATCCTTAGCCATTGTTAGTAATCTGGTTTTGAGCTCTGGGAATGGCTTTTGGGGTGGAATAGATGTTTCCTCATTTTTGGGCCCTTTGGGATTCATGTTCTAGAACCATGTGACTACGAAGTCTTCTGGCCATGCTCTCCTATGATTGCTTTGACATTTCCCTGTAGCTTGAGGACAGGCCCCTGATCTTTTTTTTACACAAAGATGATACTTTGCTGAAATGTTGGATGGAGCCATTTGACTTGCCTAACTCACTGGATGTGGAGTTGAGAAACCCACCATGGTTTTATTCCATGTCATTTTGCCCTTTATTGCTTCTTTAAACATTTAGATTTGGCTACACGTAACAATTTTCAGATTATGGTGATTTAAGATAGTTTCATCATCCCAGCATGCACTTTTAATAAGGATTCATGGCTTGGAGGGATTTTTCCAGCAGATTTGCTGATTTGTTTAGAGTTTTTTTGGTGTGTTTGCTTAATTTATATTTAACATGGAAACTAAGTTTATATGACTAGGTATCTATCATGCAGGAACATTAAAACACAATAAAGATGTATTTTTATAAAAAAAAATCAATCATCCTTATCCAAGACTCTTCATTTATGCTAATCTTTAAGACTGGAGTGATTAACAAATATATATCTTGAGCATACACACCTAAAGGCAATGGATTTATCCCAAATCAAGTGATCTTACCTTTTATTAAAATTTTCATTTATAAAACATTGTATAAAAGCTGAGGATTTGCCTGTGGACTTAACTGTTCTACCTCCAACCTAACTTTGTTCTACCTATTCATCTTTAGAAACAAAATGTTCTTTACAAAAGTTATCAGTTTGACATAGAAAGTAAATTTCTTCCTACTCTGTGAAGTATGATTAATGGGTATAGTAAATAATTATTTCAAATACAAGAATGAAATAACAGAAATGAGATATAAGGTAACAATAGATGCAATATGGTGATAAATATAATTTGTATGGCAAAATAGCTAAATATCCAAATTACAGAAACTCTAAAAAATGTAGTTAAATTATGAATAAAAGTAATGTTTATTCATTTATATAAATATATCATATCTAGAAGACATCACTTTTATCTGGAAGGGAGAAGAAATGAATATTAAGATGGAGAATGTACTCATTTGTAGATGCCTTGTGGCTTACTATGGTCTCATCAAAAACAACTGGAGACTTGATATTTTCAGTTTAGAGGTCTTTGGGAGGGATATTAGTTATCATGCTATTTTTCCTATCTTCCTTTTAATTCTTAAAATTCCAAAATTATATTTCCACCTGTTCCAGGATTCTCAGCTAAAGATGCTCATGGACTGCAAGTCACTAATAATATAGCTCAGTTCTCTATAATTCCCAGACATCATGTGTCACATTTTTAATTCTAAATTCCCAGGAAGGTAAATATGAATGTCCAACCTAAACCAATCAATTGTAACTAGGAGACCAAGTCCAAAATCGGGGATATGAGAGGAAGTCGTCATCGTTAATAGGGCAGGCTTTTCCAGCAAATATGTGTTACACCCTTTTAACACATATTCGTGACTCCTATTCCGACTCTCTCTGCAATCTCACCTTGTATCATTGTTTCCATAACCCACTATCCTGCAGGTATTCTGGTTTCCCAGTTTCTTGTCCATAGTAAACTATTTGTTCTGCTTTGGACCTTTCATTTGCTGTTTCTTCTTCTTTTTTCTTTTTTTAATTTAAATTCAAGTTAGTTTACATATAGTGTAGTATTGGTTTCAGGAGTAGAATTTAGTGATTCATCGCTTATGTATAACACCCAGTGCTCATCACAAGTACCCTCCTTAATGCTCATCACCCATTTAACCCAACACCTACACACCTCCCCTCCATCAACCCTTGCCCACAGCAACTTCTTACTAGAAATGTCTCCAGGGGCAAGGGAAACAAAAACAAAAATGAACTATATTCGGAACTCATCAAGATATAAAGCTTCTACAGAATGAAGGAAAGAATTGACAAAACTAAAAGGCAACTGACCGAATAGGAGAATATATTTGCAAATGACATATTGGATAAAGGGCTACTATCAGAGCTTATAAAGAATGCATCAAAATCAACACCCAGAAAATAGAAATCCAGTTAAGAAATGGGCAAAAGAAATGAGCAGACATTTCTCCAAAGAAGACATACAAATGGCCAACAGACACATGAAAAAATGCTCAACATCACTCATCATCAGGGAAATACAAACCAAAACCACAATTAGATAACACCTCACACCTCTCAGAATAACTAAAATTAACAACACAGGAAACAACAAATGTTGGCAAGGATGCAGAGAAAGGGGAACCCTCTTACACTGTTGGTGGGAATGCAAATTGGTGCAGCCACTCGAAAACAGTATGGAGGCTCCTCAAAAAGTTAAAAATAAAAATACCCTACCACTCCACAATTGTACTACTAGATATTTATCCAAAGGATACAAAAATGTTGATTCTAAGGAGCACACTCACCCCAATGTTTATAGCAGCAATGTCCACAATAGCCAAATTATGGAAAGAGCCTAAATGTCTATTGACTGATGATAGATAAAGAAGAGGTGGCATATATACACAATAGAATATTACTCAGCCATCAAAAAGAATAAAATCTTGCCATTTGCACAATGTAGGTAGTACTAGATTGTATGATGGTAAGCAAATAAGTCAGTCAGAGAAAGACAAATACCATATGATTTCACTCATATGTGGAATTTAAGAAACAAGACTGATGAACATAGGGGAAGGGAAGGAAAAATAATATAAGATAAATACCAAGAGGGAGGCAAGTGATAAGAGACTCTTAACTATAGAGTTCATTTGCTGTTTCCTCCAGCTGGAATGTGTCTCTATACTTTTTGCAGAATTTAATCTGGACAGGGTTTCTGCTTGCATGCTTACCTTTCACAGGTAGATCACCCTGTGGAAATTAGCTTCCTCACCATGTGTATTCTATCTCATCACCCTTTAACCATCCTGCAAATAATCACAAACTGTAGTTTTCTACTTTTTTGTTTTCTTATTCTTTCTTATTGCCATCAGAATTTAAATCCCATGAAGACAGAATTTTTTAATCCTTATTACTGCTATGTCTCCAGTGACTAGTTCAATCAATACATTTGCAAATGAATAAATTTAAATAATTTTATAGTGAAGAGTGAGCTTGAATTTTTGATTTCTGAATTTCCCCCTCCTATTTTACAATTTTAAAACATAGAACATTATCAACTATGTCAAATAATTAGATATAAAGGTGAATAAGTTATTTTTTTTTAGTCTTTATTTTAATTCCAGTTAGTTCACATAGTGTTGTATTAGTTTCAGGTATACAATATAGTGATTCAACAGTTCCATACATCACCCTACATTCATCATGACAAGTGTACTCCTTAATCCCCATCCCTTATTTAATTCATCTCACCACCTCCCTCTCCTGGCATATAAGTTACTGACACAAAAAATGAGAAAATCACACATACTATTAGCATTATCAGGAGTTAATGTTCAAAATTCTTGTACACCAAAAAAGTGTGGTACAATGCCTGAGTGTATGCGGTCTAGAAACAAACTCAGTTTAAATTCAAACTTGATACTGTTTCTTTATGTCACTTAATATCTCCATGACTCAATTTTTGTATCATGAAGAGAGAATAATACTTATAAAGTAGCTTTTTATGGAAATTAATTAAATAAATATGTAAAATGCTTACAACACTAAAAGACGTCTATAAATGTGTTCTGTTCTTAAGACTGGAATTTTCACGATTCATTTGTTTACTTATCTGAAAATGAACTGTACAGAGAACTAAGCAGCTTCTTAGTAAATTGCTCAGAAAAGTAGCAATCCAATGAGATGATGTTATATATACCCTTACAATGTCAGTTCCCTTAGCTAATATAAACACAATATAAATTTAATTTAAATTTGAGCCACATTTGTTAACCTAAGTCAATCATTATAATTACAATGGTGCCTTTATTTTATAAATTATGGATTTTTTTCTGCAATATAATTTTAATTTACCTTTTCATCGACTTACCAATAAACTTCCCTTCAACTTGAACACAAGGAAAAAAAAATGACTGTTTTTTAACAGTATGTGATTATCTTGTTTATTTATGCCCAGAGCCAAAAGGATGAATTTGCTGTATAAACTGCATGACACATGCTAGACCATTACTGGCAATAATTGTCATTCTGCAGCAAAAGTCTCACTTTCATTTTTGCCCAAGGCAGAATATGTCTCTTTTTTTTTTATATTTAGAACAGAAAGGATGGAAAGAGATTGTCAGCCTAACCATTTGAATCCTGGGGTAAATATGAACTATGTCTTGGAATCCAATGTCTCTCTCTCTCTCTTCTTAATGTAAGGTTTTGCCTAAATTTTATTTTCCTTATAAAGTGAAGAAAAAAGTTTATCATAATAGTGGAAGTACTGGAGGGTGCCTGGGTGGCTCAG